TAAAGTCACAATCTGAATTATCACAGTAATGGTGGGCAGACAGGACAAAAAGTTAAAATCTCAATTATAACAGTAATGGTGGGCAGACTCGACAAAAAAAAAACCTCACAATCTGAATTATCATAGTACTGGTGGGCAGATATGACAAAAAGTCACAATTTGAATTATCACATTAATGGTGGGCGGACAGAAAAAAGTCACTATTTGAATTATTACAAACAGGACAAACAGTTACAACTTGAATTTGAAGAAGGTATTGGATGGCAGACATGACAAAAAGTCACAATCCGAATTATCACAATAGTGGTGGGCAGACAGGACAAAATTCACAATCTCAATTATCACAGTAATGGTGGGCAGATGACAAAAAAGTCACAATTTGAATAATCACACTAATGGTGGGCAGACAGGACAAAAGGTCACAATCTCAATTATTACAGTAATGGTGGGCAGTTGGGACAAAAAATTACAATCTGAATTATCTCAGTAATAGTGGGCAGAGAAGATAAAAAGTCACAATCTCAATTATCACAGTAATGGAGGGCAAACATGACAAAAAGTCACAATTTGAATTATCACATTAAGAGTGGGCAGACAGGACAAAAAGTCACAATCTCAGTTATAACAGTAATGGTGGGCAGTCGAGACAAAAAGTCACAATTTGAATAATTACAGTAATGGTAGGCAGACAGGACAAAAAGTCACAATCTGAATTATCACAGTAATTGTGGACAGATGACAAAAAGTCATATTTTGAATTATCACAGTAATTGTGGGCAATCAAGCCAAAAGGTCACAATTTGAATTATCACAGTAATAGTGGGCAGACAGGACCAAGAGTCATACTTTCTATTTTCAAAAATTTATTTTTAAAGCGTATTAATATCGTTATAGTCAATTATCCTGATAATTAATGATCACAACGAAATAATGACTTTACAGGAATAGGGTAATTTGTTTAGCAAGTGAAGTCTTAACACAAATTATATAACAAGCATATAACATTCAGGGCATCGAGGTTATTTAAGGCTTTCACTTAGGAAATACAGTTAAAATTTGGGTTGCAATCTCTAGGTACTTTTTAAACAAGTATGTTAATAAAATAACATTTTTGAGCTCAATTGCTCTACTTTCCAAGGCTTCAATATTATCAATCTTATATATATATAAACACCACATTTGTCTTTCTTTCTTTCTTTCTTTCTGTTTCCTGATTGCCAAACAAGAGGTCGCGAGTTTGAAACTTGCGGTTCTATACCACTTATTACCTTTAAGAATTTGTATGTTCAAACTTTATTTAAACTGCTTATCTCAGTATTTTTTAGAAAATGTTCTTTCTTTTTATTTTTGTCCTTGTGCAGGTAATTAATCTAGACTATGTCATAAATCTTTTTTTAAAGAAAAAACAAGTTTTGCGTTAGCTGTGATAGTTACATCAATATGATTGTTTTGTTAGTACTATCTAAACTCTTTTTATATTACTAACTGTTATAAAATATCTAACATATAACTGGTACTTTTTTGTTTAATATAAGCTGTTAGTTTTACTAATAATTTTAGTAGCTAATTTAACTTTCAGATGGCATATTAACCATAGTTTTTAACGAATCTATGTAGTAAATTCACTTTTAATAACTGCGGTTTATAATGTTTTCCTTGCTTGTATATTAAGTTATGCACTATGTGGGTTTTTTGTCTGGTTGTATCTTTCATGCCTGTATGTCTTACAAAATCAAGTTGAATTTAATGTCTTTATCGTTTGTGTCATGTTAGTAATACACTCATTAAAGTTTATGTTGAATTGCAGTTTTAAATCTTGCCCTCTTTAAGTAAAGCATAGCCTTTCTTATCATATCAATTAGATTCAACGTATAATACAAATGTTTCCTAATTCAGTTAGCAACATTACATACATACATACATACATACATACATACATACATACATACATACATACATACATACATACATATTGCTTTATGTATAACAGTACCAATTAAACAAACCCAAAAGGGTGGAGTTTTATGTGTAGGAAACATTGTAGTTAAAAATAAACAATAAAACTATCTGTTATTGGTGCACTGTGTAGAGTTTAAGATTTTCTCGGGCTAAAAAAAGTTAAGTCTCCCTGCAGCATGTGAGATGATGCTAATTAATATCTAGATTATACTGTGTACTCAAAATATAATTAAAATGTATATATTTGGACTGGGTACTCATTACCCATGTTCAGTTACAACAGTTATCTCCCTTATGAGTAATAGCGTAATTGGATCTGTTTTTGTCGTCAAACTGACACTCTAATATTGCTCTCGATGATAATGTCCGACACGCCATAACAATAATACTAACTGGTACCATCATGCCTTAAATACTTGTTTACCTTTGTACTAATGTATAGAGGTATGACCATAAATCTCCGCATTCGAAAAAGACAAACGAACAAAGAGATTCTTACCTGAACTGGCATTCTCGTTTAAAGCAGAAGTTGTGAAACATTCTCCCTTGCTTAGGCAAACAACCTTGTAGAGTAGACCTTGATATTCGGACCTGCTGTTAGTTGTAAACACCATCCACCCAGGCGTCAGGAAAGCAACAACTTGCAGGACGACGGAAATGGATAGAACACACACGACAATTTTGTTCCTATTCAATCGCATTTTTATCACAGCCTTGGAATTCTCTGTTGCCAAAGTCTCTTTTAATTTTCTTTTCGAAAAATTTTTGAGCAGGTGACTTTTTTGTTTTCAATATAATCTTTAAGCAGACGACTTTTCTTATATTCTTGAAGCTTTTCTCTATAACTGGGTCATCAAGCTAGGATGATGCAATGTATGGGTATATCCGAAGGTCATGTAACATGATACATGAATGTTGTTTAAACTGACACCACATGCTATTTTGGAATAGAGATAGAAAATTCAAAGTCATTTAGCCATAAATAATTAACAATACTGAAAGTTTATCCACCGTATTATAGGATAAATAAAGTCTCAATATAGTACAGTTCCACGGTAGTTTTCAGCAACGATAGCTTCAAAGCCGCTTTGATTTATTTGGTGTACTTTTCCAAAGTCAAACGAAGGGTAACTATCGTGTACTACCTTTGTGCATAGCATAATATTACCTTTTCATTGATATTTCAATGCCAAGTAGATTGGTCACGTGATATGATAAATTCTTCAGCGACGCTTTTTTTTCAGTTGGACTTAGGTCTAATGATAATAGACTCAAAATAAACCTACAATTGCCAGTCCTCAAGATAATATTGTTAATTTAATTTTCGTGTTTGGTTGTTTGAAAAAGGAATATCGTTGGGGTTAACCGATCATTCCATGCAAATGCGTATGCGTTAATATTTGCTTAATTACCATGACAAGTACACGCGTATGCTTCAAATGTAGAGCATTTATTCACAAAATAAAAGATTTGTAATGGAAACTTCCAATAATAATATAAAAAAATATTCGTTTGGTTTTCCCCCAAAGGCCTTCAGTAGATGAATTCACATATGTCTGAAACTCATGCTCATATTTTATGAATATCTTCTTAGAGATAAAGAAATCAATACAACCTTGTCTTGCAAAGGAGTAAGGGAGTAAGAAAAAATGCACTACTGCACTTCGTATAGCAGAGAAACTTATTTTGGTCGCCATTACTGAAACCCTTGCTTATAGAACAAACGTGTTAATGATGAAATAATTATAATAAAGAGGTCGACAATGTGTCCAAGAAGAGAGTCAGATAATTGACAGTCATCATTTGGGCTGCTTCGGTAGTATTGATAGCAGCCAATAAATGAGAACTCATATTACATCAGCAACAAGAAAGAAATGAGGACTCATAGTACGTGAGTGACTAGAGTGAAATGAAGACTCTTATAGTACATCAATGACAATAATGAAATGATGACTCTTATAGTGCATCATTGAAAATAAAGAAATGATGGCTCAATACATCAGTGACAATAAAGAAATGAGGACTCATAATACATCAATGACAAAAAAAGAAATGAGGACTCATAATACATCGGTGACAAGACAGAAATGAGGACTCATAGCACATCAGTGACAAGAATGAAATGATGACTCTTATAGTGCATCAGTAACAAGAAAAAAAAAAACGATGACACTTTCTTTTCCAGAAGGTTACTATAAACTCGAAATATACAGGAAAAGAGTTAATGACGGAATGACAGAGACAATTAATGCTATGTGTTTGAAACACTTCTTAAAAATTAAAATTGCAGGGTATTAGTCACCAACTTCATTGTTGGGATTCATTAGCAATACAAGCATTTACTGATGCATTTTGTGACCTTTTGAAACTTAAATGTCTATACATTTTTCTAATCAATAACACAAAAATTAGACTGATGATGATTATTTGTGCTTACTCGAGTCCTCCTATCAATTATAAGCAGTCACAGTGTGGTACAATTAATATTAATTGCATTAGAAGAGATGAATATGAAAAAGGAATATATTTATATGGTATGCAGGAATTAGTTTTATCTCATTAATTAAATGGAGTAAATGTATTATGTTTGGAAACATCTCTTCATTGTCATTATGAACCTTGAAACATTTTATGTACAACAAACATATGCAATGTTTGGATAAATGATCAACAATGACTTACTCGGTAATAGCCATAGAGTTATTTTATGCGACCACGACAACTTAACGTATATAGCCAATATATAATTTCCTTTAAGAAGCGTTCATAACCAGACAGTAAAAATACTGTGTGTGTGTGTGTGTGTGTGTGTGTGTGTGTTAGATTTTAACATAGCTTAAACATTTTTTCAGTCATATTGCCACGATGTCTTCAGTGTGACAGTGATGACTGGAGCTGGAGCTTCATGCCGCAGACAATTAGCATGATGTCCCACCCAGTCACATTATCCTGACACCAGACAAATCAGTCCTAACAGTAATCCTATAATGCTGAGCGCCAAGCGAGGCAGCTATTGGTAACATTTTTAAAACTCTTTGGTATGACTCGGTCGGGGTTCAAACCCGTGAACTCCAGCATCCGAGGCGGAAGCTCTAACCACTAGGCCACCGTGGCTTGTGAGAACAATTTCAAATACATCAAAACGCAAAAGAAACAAGCTGGAATAAAACGGAGTGTTATTCAAAAGAAATGAATATTAACAAACTTTTAGCAAATATTCTTCCAGAATGAACTCGATCGGAGATTTTATACCGTGAAAAAAGACTGGAGATAGTAATTCCAGAATGATTTTCGGCAATATAAAAGATCTCAATGGCTATAAAAAGTCTGACAAACATGGTTTATTTCCATGGTATGAACTAGGGGCACCAGTTTATACAAAACTACTAAGGATTTCTTCAATGAGTGTTGGACGTACACAGGGAAAAAGCACATAGGTGTCAACAATTTAGTTCCTGAAATGCATATCATTTGGCAAAAGTACAACAAATTGTTCAAATACATACCAACAAAAAGCAAATATTGAAGACCAAAATACAGTAAATCTACTTTTATTGCAGATCAAGTTGACATTCAAAGCAATCAGCTCATATATATATATATATATATATATATATATATATATATATATATATATATATATATATATATATATATATATATATATATACATGCGTCAAGCAGAAATGAACTAAATTTTGGACAAGGCCAAGTCCAACATTACATCTACATGCAATAAAAAAATAAAACTTAGAAAACCTAACAAACAAACAAAAGATCTTCTTAAAAGTAGGCAGAAGAGGTATATTTTTAAAATTCTTTGTAATTAAATATCCTATATATATCTTGATTTTTTTCATAGGAATCTGGAACAACTGTGTATATATATATATATATATATATATATATATATATATATATATATATATATATATATATATATATATATATATATATACACACACACACACACACAGTTCATGATGACACCTATTCAGTGCCATCATTGTTTTCGGCGATGCTTGCTTAGTCGTGACGGGATATGGTCAAGTGTGTGAAGGTAAGGCAATGGGTGCCGTTTACTTGTTGACCTGGGTTTAAAACTCAGTAGAGTACGAATTAAAATTCTCTAACCTGTATGATATCATTATTTGCATTAAATATTCTCTTATCCAATCTGGATAAAATCATTTATGCCAACTCAATGATAGTTTTATATTTGATCAAAAACACAAACATCATGTCAATAATTATCCATTTCTTTTTTGGTGTTTCTGGCAACCATAATGTATCTTGTAATTTTTCAGACAGACTGATACATCTATCATATTTAAGTTGAATTGGTTTTCTAAAATAGGCTTCTATGAAATCAATGACTGTATCTAACAAAATTAGCTTTCGATGGCCTGTCTGATATTTATCATAGACCCGAAACCACAGGGGAAAAAATATTTCATTCTTTTTTCTTTATTTTAACATGAGTCTTATTTTTCACCTATACAGGTAAAAGATCATATTGTAGATCTAATCTATTTCCGTGCAATGCTATAAGATCTTTATTTTGTCACACATCCAACTCGTGTATTGATTATGTCCGGTCCTAAAGTTGTATGTAATGTATCTACGTGGAATGACACCAAGCCTTTTGCCTGTCACGCATCCAATTCGTGGCTTCTTTTATTTCCTAACATTGTAAATCATGAAAACAGCGCTTAATTACCTCATTTATTTAGCCACTGTTTATTATGTAGCTGAGTTTGTTTGTTTTACATGCTCGTACATGCCCTTATCCGAGCCAGCTAGACTGGTTGGTAAGTAGGCCATATACCTGGACCGTTACGTTCATAGGTCTAGCAACCTTCTATCCACCCTCGGCTGACCTCAGCAAAAGCTCATTTAGCTCAACATTTACAAAGCAAAGTGTTCATTCTGTAAGCTGTTCATTCACAACTGTGCAATTCTTCATTGCCTTGAAATCTTTACTCATTTACGTTTCTCCTAATAAAAGCTTTTCCTTCTTATTGTGTACAGTTTGCTACTTGATTCCTTGTTATTCTGTGTACAGATTGCTAATTGATCCGTCTTAGTTCTTTTCATCGACTTCGTATTAAAAGCCCTAATTGGTTTTCTAGAAAGATTAAAATATCATTATCATTTATAGAAGAGCTAAATTTAATTATAAAGCTACATTTCATATCATCAATATTTGTCCAAAAGAGAGATTTGAGGTTTTGACATTTATTTTTGAAAGCTCATGTTAGTAACGAAACAGCTCGTCATGTTAGCTATAACATTTGATATAGCTTTGGGGAAAAAACAGTTCACTTAAGTATAGATTTTTTACATAATTTCAAAAACAGCTCACTTTTAGTCTAGTAAAGCTTCTGACATTTTGTAAACAGCTCAATATAGCAACTATAACTTTTGAGATATTTTAAAAGCACATATTGGTAACTAAATAATGTCGAGTTTGAACATACAAACATATGGAAATACGAATGTGAGTATTTCTTCCTTTATTCACTATTACACTCGTATATCTAGTATGTGTATATTCACGCATGCGTGGACGCATTTGAAAAGGACTATGGACGATCAGATTCTTACCTGAATTTGTAGTCTCATTTATAGCGGAAGTCGTGATGCACTCTCTCTTGACGTTGCAAACAATCTTGTAGAAAAGACCTTGATATTCGGACCTGGTGTTACCTTTAAACACTATCCACCCAGGCGTCAGGAAAGCAACAACTTGCAGGACGACGGAAATGGATAAAACACATACCACTATTTTGTTTCTGTTCAGTCTCATTTTACCGCATACTTAAGACTTTCCTTAACTAAATTTCTTTTCCTTTTTTGACTAGCTGTAAAAATGTAACTTTTATTCTCAATATATTCTTGCAGCTTTTCTCTATAACTGGGTCATCCGTCCAAGATGATGCAATATTAAGGGCATATCCAAAGGTCATGTAAATTGTTAACAATTATTGTTTAAATTGACACCAGTGGCAAGTTTGGATAATTTGCATTAAAATATAAAGAGAAAGAATTGTTAATGCCACTTCACTGAGTCAATAATATTTAGCAACACTGAACGTTTATTCCACCATACAGTTGAGTTTAGTTCAGTGTCGATCTATACACACTTTGCCAAAGCCAATTCTATGGATATAAATAGCCATTGTATGGGACATTTTTTGAAGTTTTGTATTATCTGTTTTGACAATGAAATATTTGTATTGTACTCGGGGTACAATACACAACGTGTGAGGTAACATATTTATATATCACTTTACAGGCATGAACATAGGCTATGGACGATATATTCTTTCTCACAGAAGCCAATTATATAAGTAAAAATAGCTATAGGATAGTACCTTTAATAAAGTATCACATTATCTATGTTTCGCCAAGGATTAGTCTATTTGGCACTCAGGTTGAAATACGCAACTTGTGAGGTAAAATATAAATATCTCACTTTGCAAGCAAGTTCATGAGCCATGGACGACATCCTGTTTTGTATAGTTCAGTAAAACTTGATTATCCGTAAGAGTGCGGGACCGAGACCATGACGGGATGAGAATAGACGGATAATAGAATATACACATAAAACATTTTATACAACAGACCTGGTCATCCAAACTTCACAATATCTACATACGTACAAGTACCTGTTTTTTATAGTTAGATGCACATTGTTTCAATATCATAATGAAACTCAAAAGAAACAATAATTCTAAAGTACATAATAAAATTTTTTTAAAGTCAGTTTCTTTTGTTTCAATACTCCTGGAGCCTTTTGGGAGGGTATGTTACGAATTTTACGCATTTCAGTTTCGTCTGATTACCATTAGTGAGGATTATCCAGTTGTCAACTATTCTCCATTTTCTATGTACATGTAGAGCAGCTCTACCAAATTCATCATAAAAGCATGTAAAAAAAAATGCCGATTTTTTTTTTATATTTTGCACACATTTTAGAAAAAATAAAAATAAAAATCTGATCGGATATAATTTTTCAAAATGCCCGATCATAGCTGTAGGATTGTGAAGTATTGCCACATCACAGAAATCAAACTGATCGTAAATATTCTTTTCTTAAGATGTCACAGAACTTTTATGGCTTGATCGATCTGATTATTAATTCCCAATAAATAACTACCAATCTTCGCTACGTTTGTCCTAAATGTTTATAACTTCTGACAATTTTAAGTTCCGAATTTCTTTTTTTTTTTAAATTCACATTTTGTTTATTTAAAAATTTCCCCAAAATCATAGCTTTCCTTTTGTTTGTGTAATTATAATCTTATTTTGTTACAATAATTAAAGATTAGTTTGCATATGGTTTGGATTATCTGAAAATACAAAGATATCGGCTGCATAGAGTAAAAGAAATAGTTCTAAACATCATACGATATCTCCATCCAGTAAATGAACTCTTATGACATTATAGTACAATGTAAAAAAAAAATGATTCTCGTTGTCATTTAATTACAGGGCCAAAAATACAGAAGAACGATTGCAAAGAAAATTGCCATGATTTCATTAATTCTATTGATACAAGATTTTATATCCACATTCATATTCATTATGAACATGAATATTTATAGAAGTGTTAATTAATTGTCTTCATAACCTAACTCTCAATTCCCGTCTGAAATGAATCCAAAAAGGTGCAAAACACTATTTTATATCGTTGACTTAAACGTTCCATTAAGGAATATAAGACAAAGATAGTATCTGTAGTGGACTATCCTTTACAAAAAAAATACATGCTTGTGCCTCACGCAGTGAATTGTTTTATATCCTATCAAGGAAAGTATCTAAGCAAATACATCAAAGAAAGCCACTAAGGAAGTATATTGAGGAAAGTATCCAGTATCTATGCCGTAAGGAAAACCATTAGGCAAGTATATAAGGCAAGCATATAAAGGAAAGTATCTAGACAAGCAAATCAATTAAATCCACAATGCATGTTTATTAAGGAAAGCCATAAGGAAAGTATACCAAGGAAAGTATCTAGACAAATACTTCATGGAAAGCCACATGGCAGGTATATTAAGGAAAGCCACTAGGCATGTATATTAAGTGAATCCACAAGGCATGAATATTAA